AACTGATGCTGGCATCGGTGTTGTGATGATGAAATACAAAGGACCTACCACTTGACCTGCTAACAACCCTTAGGGCTTTCCAGATTGAGCCCAGAAGTGGTTGGGAGCTCGATGCCCGAATACAGGCCTGTGAGCTAAGCTAACCCGTGTTAGCATCCGGTGTCGTGATGATGAAATACAAAGGACCTGTGAGCCTACTACGCAGACTGATGTACAATGGATATTCACCAAGATAATGTGAACGTTCCAGGAAATGGGCCTCGCTGTATTACACTTAAATCTTGAAGAATCAAGTGTTCGGCACCGCCGCACTTGCACTTGAAAACAAAGCTTGGAAACGGCTTCAAGAGCTGTCGGATCGATGCTAGATTCTTCAAGAGTGAGTCATCGCTGCACTCACTCTTGACGGATGCTCTTGAATTTCTTTTTCAAGAGGTGTCAGAAGGCTCGATTCTGACAGCTCTTGAAGTGTTCAAGTGCTGGCCCCACTTAACCGTTGATTATCCAAGAAAGAGAGTCGTCTTAAACCACCAGTACTTGGCCCATACATCAGCCGCGGGGCGTTGCCGTTAACGCCCCGCAACTTCCAGAGGCTCGGGGTACCGGCCCTCAAAGGCTGGCACCGCCAGCCAAAAGAAGTTTTTTTTGTTGCGCTGGTGGGTCGGCGCAAAACGGCGTGCAGCCCGTTTTCAGGCTCGGCTCGATAGCTGGGCCAAGTACTGGTGGTTTAACTGTCGGTTATCCAAGAAGAGAGCGGTCGTCAAAACTCTCCACCTTGCCCACCACCCCCAGTTTTGTCTACTTATGCTCTGTTTGATTTTCCAAACTGCCTTGCTGCAACTAGAACTACTACAATTGTTTCATTGGGCCTCGCTGCACTATGCTTGACTCACAAAAAAGTTCAAGCGTACATCAAGCGCTGTCAGACAAGAGAAATACTCACAATAGCCGTCAGAAATACTCACAATAGCCCCTTTTTTTTGAAGGGTGATTGGCCCAACCCTTCACGAGCTCTTCAACTTTCAAGAGCCGGCCTCCAGTCTGGGCGGACAAAGAAGCTTGGCACCATTGTGTAGCATTTGGGACCGAAAAAAGGAAAACAAAAAAAAAAATCGAGAATCCTTCCAAGAGTAGGGCTGTCGAGAGTAAGTGCAGCGACGACGGCTATTGTGAGTATTTCTCTTGTCTGACAGCGCTTGATGTACGCTTGAACTTTTTTGTGAGTCAAGCGTAGTGCAGCGAGGCCCAATGAAACAATTGTAGTAGTTCTAGTTGCAGCAAGGCAGTTTGGAAAATCAAACAGAGCATAAGTAGACAAAACTGGAGGGTGGTGGGCAAGGTGGAGAGTTTTGACGACGGCTCTCTTCTTGGATAACCGACAGTTAAACCACCAGTACTTGGCCCAGCTATCGAGCCGAGCCTGAAAACGGGCTGCACGCCGTTTCGCACCGACCCGCCAGCGTAACAAAAAAAACTTCTTTCGGCTGGCGGCGCCAGCCTTTGAGGGCCGGTACCCCGACCCTCTGGAAGTTGCGGGGCGTTAACGGCAACGCCCCGCGGCTGATGTATGGGCCAAGTACTGGTGGTTTAAGACGACTCTCTTTCTTGGATGATCGACGGTTAAGTGGGGCCAGCACTTCACAGTGGGGCAAATTAAGTGGTTGTTTATCAGCGCTTAATATGTGAGCACAGGTGCAAGCGCAAATTAGATGTAGCTCACGATAGCGTCACTGCGCTCTTTTTTTTAAGGTCGAGTTGGTGAGCCGCTCTTTGCAAGGGAAGAAGACAAAACGGTGGACTCCTGTGGACCCCACACTTGTTCTGTCTGAGAACATTGGGGCATCCAAATTTGCTACCATGTTTGTGGCCTTCTTGGCTTGATGGACACAGCGAACTCCGGGTGTTGTTTTTTTCTTTTTCTTTACTGAGCCGCATTATGACATATTTACTCCTGTAATGGTAATCATAGTGCTGAAATTTCAGTCCGTGTAACTCATTATTCAAGTGCTACGCAGGTGCAGAAGGTCAATGCCGCACAGCAGGTCAACGCAATCCTGACGGACTGTATACGCAGGGCCTTGCCACACCCACGAAGTGTGAAAATGGCCAGGGCATCTTCACGAAGGTGGAAGTATATGTCAATGGATGTATGTTGCCACCTTCTGTGTGAAGGTGCGCTTGCCATTTTCCATGTTTTGTGAGTTATATGTTGAGGCCCACAGGTCTGTGGAGTCCTGCACATAAATCACAGCTCATGGAGGTTCTCAGACATTGGTCAGTTTTGTTAAACCACCAGTACTTGGCCCATATATCGGCCGCGGGCCTTAGCGTTAACGCTACGCGAAGTTCGCGCTTCTGGCAACCGGACCTGGAAGGCTGGCGCCGCCAGCCTTTCCGAAAACCAAAATCGAATTGGCGTTTCGGCGGAAACTGCGCGCAGGGCACTTCCAGGCTCGGCTGCAATAGCTGGGCCAAGTACTGGTGGTTTAAGGGATATTGATGTTATTGTGCATGGCACATCAAGCAAAGCATGTGACATTGTGTAATGCGTGAGCTGAACTTCCTCTTCCATATGCCTGCCTTGGCCAGTCTGTGTATAGTAGGTGGATGATGCCTTTTCTGGGCTGTTTGTTTTCCAGCTGTCATGCTGGTTCGGGTCATGGCTTGGGCAGGTAGTCCTTGAATATCACAGAGAGTGCCACATTGCTAGGTTGTGAGAGAGGATTGGGTCGCTTTCTTTATCAGGTTAACCAGTGTCCAAGCATATCGCTACCGATAGATAAAGAGGCCTTTCTTATTTTAAGAGAACGATGGTCATGAACTGACAAGTCCTGCACTTCTGTATTTGCAAGCAATTCAGAATTGGTTGTGTGACTAGTGAGTGCGTCAGCCAACTCTCTTTGTTTGGACACGTGGACACACACACATGTACTTACAGAGATAGAGTGCATTTGCAAAACAATGGAATACCCAACGTTAAACACCAGTAGACCCCAGCCTATTTCTAAGAAGCTGCTCCGGAGCCTCCAACTGGGCCTTTTCGCAGTGGTCTCCACAGGCGACTATCGGCCCCGGTCTGAAGCGTACACTGGTAAGAGCCTGACTTAACTTTGGGCAAACTGGTGGTTTAAGATTGGGATATGCTTTACCGCGGGTACACTGGAAAGAGCCTGACTCACCGACTCGACCACCGGTAAGAACCTGGCTCACCAACTCAAACACCGGTAAGAGCCCGATTGTGTCGGATGAGCCGCGTCCGCAAAGGCGCACAATTTTTGGAGTTGGCGACGAAAAAAAACTTTTTCAGCAAGGCTGGGGCTGTGTACTACCGTCTCAACCCGAAAACAAGGTACATACCTTGTATACGAATACAAAGTACGGGGTACCTTGTAGAATGAATTTTAGGATGCAACTTTCCTAGGCAATGGGGAAAAGAAAAAGAAAAAAGTATATAGTAAATATTAGTAATAATATCACGAATAGAAAACGGGGCTGTAGCTTGAAGTCCTTTTTTTTTTTTTTTGAAGAACACATTGACTGCGCTGCGTGCTTACGATCCGGCATGCATTCGAATGTTGTGTGTGTGTGTGTGTGTGTCTGTGTGTGTCTGTGTGTGTTTGTGTTTGTGTGTGTGTGTGTGTGTGTGTGTGTGTGTGTGTGTGTGTGTGTGTGTGTGAGAGAGAGAGAGAGAGAGAGAGAGAGAGAGAGAGAGNGAGAGAGAGAGAGAGAGAGAGAGAGAGAGAGAGAGAGAGAGAGAGAGAGAGAGAGAGAGAGAGAGAGTTACATAACAGCAAGGCACACCTCGAATACAAGGTATGTATCTTGTATTCGAATACAAGGTTCGTACCTTCTATTCGAGGGTATGTTCTATTCAAAAATTTAACAGCGATTTCTTAGAACCTGTTTTTCGGAGGTAACTTGAATACAAGGTATGTACCTTGTTTTTGGGCTAAGACGGTAGCGGGTTTAAACCATCAGTTTTCCCGAAGCTAAGTTGAGCTAAGTCGGGCTCGTACCGGTGGGATAAACCACCAGTTTTCCTGAAGCTAAGTCGAGCTAAGTCGGTCTCTTACCGGTGGGATATGCTTTGCCGCAGGTACAGCGTACACTGGTAAGAGCCCAGCGTATCTCGTCTTAGCTTCGGGAAAACTGGTGGTTTAAACCGCTAGTACATGGCCCCAGCCTTGCTGAATTTCTTTTTTTTTGTTGGCTACTCTGAAAATTTTGCGCCTTGGGCTTACCAGATTACAATGGCTGACGGCACCAGCCAAACAAGGAAAAAAGTGCGCCGCTGGCGGTTCGGCAAAACTTGGCGCGCAGTGCAGCGCCTCCAGGCCTGGGTGTACTGGTGATAACGGACAGCATTGACACTTTTTTGAAATGGGCTTGGGTGAACTCGCGACGTTGTCACTTTGCTTAACTGACAGCGGTGCAGCGCCTTGTGATAGCACATTTATGTAACTCGTATTGCCTTAGGTTCTGATCTTGTTGTTCGTTAAAGGCATCCTTCCAGAACTGACTTGAAGAAAAAGGTGCGTAGACGTTCCTAGCAGCCCCTGGGGAAGAGGACCTTGATGTTTCTGGCCATGGGTCCCTCCAGCTGCTTCTGGATGTGTCTTGACTCAATCACATCTACATCAGTTAAGATGGTTTTGTTGTCAGTATGCCCTTACCCAGCCACTCTCAGAAGCTTCATGAATCCTCTGGAACTTTTCATCAGCTTGATTAACAATACTGTTTTGGAGTTGGGCATGCGGGCAGATTTTTTCCCAGCCACCGCTTGGGCACTTTTGCTTGTGCAAAGGAATGTATGGTTAATCAGATCAGAGTTATCTGTTTTGCTGCCTTCTGCCAAGTTTCTTACGCTCCGTTCTCTCTGGGGTTTTGTGGGGGATTTTGTCCCATCTGTGTATTCATCCATCCATCCGTCATCCATGATCCGTTCTCCACGACCTGTCCGTCCGTCCATTCATTCATCCATCAACTGGGGCTGCATACAGATCGGCAAAAGGTTCTTCTAGCAGCTGCAGCGTCAACACCGTCAGCAGTAGAGGTGGCCACAGAGGTGTCCAGCGAAACAACCGAGGAGATAGAGTGAGTATTCGCACCAATCCACACTTCTTTTTTTGTACTAGTTTTTCACACTTGGTCTCAAGGGACAACCAGTTCCTGCTACGAGAGAAAGATTAAGGAGATTGGGTGGCCAGGTGTGCTGTCCGTGAATGGCTGTACCGCTAACGATCATTGGAGATGAATATATGCCATGCATGGAGACTGATTTATGCTGTTAGACAAAGCCGAGAAGATTGGTGGCTTCTCTTTCGCTTGGGGTTGGAATATGTTTGAATGACTGTTCTGCTGATATGCGTTAGAGATGATGGTGCACTCTGAATGCAATGAACGGTTAGGTGCATGAGTGCACGGGCGTGCATGTGTGCAAGAGAGAGAGAGAGAGAGAGAGAGAGAGAGAGAGAGAGAGAGAGAGAGAGAGAGAGAGAGAGAGAGAGAGAGAGAGCACTGGTGTGCAAAAACATGAGCTGGTGTGCGTTATGAACTTGAACCACCTCCTTGGTGCTCCGAAGTGTCTGTCCTCCTCACAGTCACTGGTCGATCATGATGGCACGAAGTACAGACTGCCTGGCAACCTCTTGACCTCTTTCCTCATGTTTTCCTCCCAGTGCTTTTTATGAGCACTTCGTTTTTTTTTCCGGGTGCATCTTGGTTGAGCTTTGAAGTGTACTTGTAAGATTTGCTAGACATATGGTGGAAATTTTCCAGACCGTTGCTTGTGTGGCTTGTTAGTTGAGGGTGTGTGTTTTTTGTTGTGAGATGGCATGGTTAGCTTTTCTTGTTGCCGAAGTACCAGATTCACCTGGCAGCTAATTTGACCTGTGTATTATCTTGTCTGATCCTGTAGGCTCATTTTGCTGGATGACAAGCGAAGGATAAGTGCTACTGTAACCAATCCGAGCGTCTCTGACTGAGACGAATTTGATTGAGAGCAAAATCATGTTTGATTGGAAAAGTCACAAAAACTGGAACCGAATATGGACACTAGCGTGATTGATGAAAATATGAAACGATTATTTCCGCTTGCTGCGCTGGCTGCTTTGAGMAGCCTGCAACAGACGGAGGGCAAAATCATGTTTGATTGCAAACCTCACAAAAACTGGCACCGAATATGGACACTAGCGTGATTGATGAAAATATGAAACGATTATTTCCGCTTGCTGCGCTGGCTGCTTTGAGCAGCCTGCAACAGACGGAGGGCAAAATCATGTTTGATTGGAAACTTCACAGAAACTGGAACCGAATATGGACACTAGCTCGGTTGATGAAAATATGAAACAATTATTTCCGCTTGCTGCCCTGGCTGCTTTGAGCAGCATGCAACAGATGGTACTCAATGTGATGGAGTAGTGAACTAGAACTTACTGGCTATGGCTGCACCCAGAATACTTCCTTCAGGCGCTAAAAATAGCATTGCTTGCTTCTCCTACAATGCAGAACCAGCCAGAGTAAAAAATGAGGCGCACCTTGCTACTGCTTCACTGCTTTGTTAAAGCGTTTTTGCCTGGGCCTCTCTAGCACTAGGTCCCGGGCTCGAATCTGCTGCTCCATAGCAGATACAGAATATATATCAAACGATGACAACACTGCACACTTACCTTGGATTTGGGTCAGCTACGCGGTTTGAATCCAACCGGAGCCCATTAGTTGAAACATTCTGCATTCGGGGATGGACTGTTCTGATTGTTCCCTGTACTGTGGACACTGGTGATGTTAACCAGAGTGAGGGTTGGCTGCTTTGTTTGGTAAGTTTCGTCCATGACAACAGCATGATGGATGGTCATTCATAAATTTGTTTGTGCATTCTAAATGGTTGTGGTGCTGCAGAGCAAAGACTCCGCAGGCAGCGTCGATAGATGGGGAGAATGGAAAACTCGAGACATCACCAGTGTCAGAACAAGCACCTTCTTTGGAGGAGGGAAAAACGACATCTGAAAGCGCTGCTCCAAGTCCGAGGTCTGTTGAGGATGGCGTCCCCAAATCTCCCAAACAAGGCAAGGGAGATGCGGCAGCTGCTGGGGCATTGCAACAAGGGAATTCTTTGGATGATGAGGAGGTGGAGCTGGCAACCGCACCTCTACGCTTGGCATTTGAGACCAAGAATGCGAAGCTAGTGGAGACTGCACTTGACTGTATGCATGTGAGTATTTGTGAGCTCTGCGGAAAATCTCGTACCCATGTGTTTTGTTGAACAGCCAACATATTTTGTGATGTGTTTTGTGAATGGAACATCTTCCCAATTTGTCTTTCTGCAGGGACCTCAGCTAGGTCACCTGTAAGGATTGTTCCTGTTGATCCCTGGAATGCTCTCGATCTGGTGACACATATTAAACCACCACTGCTCCCAACTCTGGAGCACTGAACCTAAAAGTTGTTGGGCCTACCAGGTCGCAGCAAGGGCGTAGAATATGCATACTTCACCTGCCACAATCGTTTTTGTTTCTTTTTTAAAGAAAATGCAAGCTACGTTCTCCGCATATTGGGTACAGCTGCATTTTTTACTACATATTCTTCTCTCAATATATATTTTTTAATCTAACACTACCTACCCCGAGCTATGTACTTGGGTTTAGTGTCTTCCGATATCGGACAGAGGAACAGCCTTAAATCTATTAACCAAGACTTAAGTTATCCTAAGGTTATGGGTCTACGCGTACCTAACTCTGCATTGTGCAAGGAGCAGCACCCAAGCTCCTAACACCTGGTGCGGGCTGGAAAGACAGACAACTTCCACAACCAGCCAGGAGGGACAAGCCGACTTTCTCAGTCGGTGAACACAAAGTATGCCACACAGGGGGTCATGGGGAATCAAATGGATGCCTTGGGAAATCGAACCCACGACCTCCTGTGTACCCACTTACATGCTCAACCAACTGAGCTAGGCCACTTGGCCTTTGCCTGCCACGATTTGTTTTTCCATTCAGATTTTTCTTTTTTCAATGATATTTTGAGCTTCTAACAGATCCGTCTTAGTCAGCCCTTGCTCGAAATCATGAGCACGAAAAATTGCAAGAATTGTGATACTCCAAATTTTTTATCACTGCTATTGGCCCTCAGCTGCGGCTGGCAGCTGATCCTTGGTTGATGTCAGGAGCAGTGGTGGTTCGATTGGGGGTTCGGTGTGGGGATTGGAAAGGGGAAGGGGGTGTAAGGCGTTGCTTTACCTCTCTGCAGTATCGTGGAATGATGCATCTAAGTTCCGATGCTGAAATCAAGAGCCGAAGAAGGCCAACCCTTCAGAGATGTTTGATGACTTCACCTTTTTCTGCATACCAAGTTCTTAAATTGACATCAAGAAGTTTTCTCTTCTTGGTTCCCGCTGTTCCTTGTCGTTTCATGTTTTCTTGAACTACTGACACTTTTCCGAGCTTATGCTGGACCTCTGGCAATAGGGTCATCATAAAATATCTGTGCTATGTGTCAGTTGTTTTTCATTTAGTCTGGGCCTCAACAGAACATCAAAACACACGAAATATCTGTGGTGGCTCTCACAATACAAATGCTTTGTGGCCAGCTTTTTGAACAGGGGTGATTTACCGATTATGAGGAGTGTTCTCCTGCTTCTCCCTTGGATGACGGCTGGCCATGTGCTAGATGTTTGCAACCACGCCATTTCAACACTGTGATGAATACTTGGGACTTACCATAAATAAATGTACGGATAGCTTGTCTGTAGATAACTGTTCTCAAAGGCTCGTTCAGGAAGGAGTCCACTATAATTCTAAGATCAATTCCTGACAAGTTGCTTAAAAGAAATTTCAAATGTAAGGAAAAATGTTGAGTGTTGGTGGCTGTCTGATGACACGAAGTCCCCAGCCTCAAAAGTCGGTCGCATTGGGGGAGACCATAGACACACACCAGATATCTGGGAATTGAAGTAACTAAGGACGGATGGGCACTGCATATGGCTTCAAATGTACTCTTGAAGGCGATTAACAGTTTGGGCCAGTGGGGTTGGACCTTCCTACGTGTCCTGAGCAGTGTGCCTCGTCCGGGAAGACACAGCTTGCAGATCCGTGGAGCGGGCTCTGGGACATCCCACTCACAGACTCAGTGCCTTCGCTCATGATACGGAGAGGGTTTTTGGGGGTGCAGTGGGGCTCAAAACGGGAGTAAGGGAAATGCAAAACAGAGAATGCAGAAAATTGGCGAGCAAACTTGATCATCGTGCATCCCATTCAAGAGCATCATCAGCGCAGTCATGCAACGAGGTCTTTATTCACATGCCATCCATGGCCCAGCACGCAGAAGAATACTCCAAATACAGAACATGCATAGGGCATGAAACCGCATGCATAAGAACACATAAGAAAGACAGCACGCGTGCATCCATGTGTGCCCAAGACCCAAATACCGGCAAAATAAGAAGAGAAAAACGGGAAGTGGATCACCCGGCTGTCGTCATAGAACACCTGATGGATCCACACAATCTCAACCTCACGGTGTAGACAGTCTGTCATCATGCGCTCACCTCCATAACCAGCAATTGTAACCGGGCTCGATACAACCAGGGACGCCTGAGTCCTGCAATCCATGTTAGCAGACCTTGCAATTCCGCATGGTTGACATCAGCAGGCTGGTACTGTTCTTTCCGTGAAAACATACCTCCACTTAGTAGGCCAATTATATGCTAACTGCGCAACCTTCGCCTTAAGAAAGAGGGAATCGCGTGTACGAGACACAGTTTAGATGAGAAATGAGAGGAAAGGCGAAAGGAGGGAGGGAGGAAGGAAGTGCCTCCACGCTGCATGGCCAGATTATGCCATGGGGGAGTTGGCCACTCTCCACGCAAGGATCTGCCATGCAGCAACGTCAGCCTGGAAGAGTAGCATAGCAGACGGACGAGAGCAAAAAGCGGGACGTGAGAGGCACAGCAAGAAGAGATAAAATGAAGAAGGATGAGAGAAAATGAGGTGGTGGGCTCAAACCGTTGAGAAAGTGGATACGGGAAATGTGGTACCAGCAGCAGAGGAAAAGGGGGTTGAGGCACGGCGAGCATGCAAGTTGTGAGGAGCTCGATGGACATGGGAGGCAAACCGTCCGAAGGAAAATGGTGCCTTCATTTCCATTTGCAGAACTGTGTACTGTGTGCGCTCTCTAACAGACCTCCAAAAGTTACCTACGTCCGTTGAAGTGCGGAAAGAACGAAAGTAAATTTCAGTGCTATCCTGCAAAAGTCTTAATGCAAATTTTCAAAAAGATGATGGGACCCTTTGTTTCAAGTAAAAGGAGAGGAAGCCTGTCAGATGCAAACTGGCTTGCGCTTGGATTTCTTAGAATTCTTGGCTTCAAGATAATCTTACAGTTCCAGCGAAGCAGGTACTGAGGGCAATTCAAGGGAGAAAAGGCTAGCTGATGGTCGTTCCTCTGTGGAATCGAGCAATCAATGCTGATCAGGGGACCTTCACTCACATTGGAAGGAAGCACCTGTGTGTCGTATGTTGCACAATCATCGACTTGCCAATGGAAAAAAAACCCTACGCCCACAATGGATATGGAACCAGGCCCATAAGGTCGCAGTTTTAAATTACAAAATTGTGAATGATGCACGGTGATATGGATGACCATGGTAGTGGGGCAATGGTAAAGGTGGTGGTGGTGATGATATAACCATTCAGACTTTATGCGAGGTGTGACAGCTGACTTTATGAATGTTTGTCATTTTGACTCCAGAAATTGATCGCTTATGGACATCTTGAAGGGGAGGCAGGTGTGGAAGGTGGTGTGAATGGGATGCGTCTGACACAGTTGGTCAACATGGTTTGCTCATGTGCAGAGTCATCGTCTGCAAGTGACAGGTCAGTAGTGTCAGGTGACTTCTGACTCAACGGGACTTTTTGGAAATGTTGGTGATTCAAGTGTAGTTGTTCCTGTATGACTTGAATCCAGGACCAAAGGGATACTCTCACCTGGCATTCACAAAGGTGTTCAACTGCATCTCGTAAGAGTAGTTTGAACCTTGCCTCACAAGGCTATACATTTCCTTGTTATCCAGGAGCCCTGTATCCTGGATGAATTGGATGTGGAGCCTGCAAATGTCAAAACTTTAAGTGGAAAGGGACATCATTGAGCCTGGAAAAGTAATGTGTGTGTCTCATGGATGGGAAGTGCACATAATGATGAAAAGTCAGGATGGAAGGGTGCTATGTGACAGGATCGCTGCAATATAAAATACCTAATGTAAGGAACCTCACATGCGGGCCATTGTCTCCAACTGCGGCCACAGCCTGGATCATTGGGCAAATGTAACGTCTGGTCCAGATTGCCGTGTGATCTGCAGATTTAAAGATCATGTGGTGCTCCGGGCTGATGGCCGGTTGAACTGTTTCGATGACCTGGATGGCAGTAGAATTTGACCATCAGTCCTATGGACACAGCCATTGAAAAAAAGTCATGTCCTACTGTGCCGGTTGTTCTTTGCGCACTTCTGTTGTACTTTCATCATTTGATGCAAGGACACCCTGTTGTAATCTGTGTGTGTGTGGTGGGGGGGGGGGGGGGGGGGGGGGGGGGGGGGGGGGGGGGGGGGGGGGGGGGGGGGG